GTTGCAAGGGGATCAAATACTTATTTCCCACAGTTAAATTAAAATACATTGTTATCTTTTATAAAAGGTCAATTTCTGGATATTATTTTTGATATTCTGTCTCTCATTAGTCAAATAAACCTACCATTACAATTATAGACTGTTCATTTATTTGTAAGTGTGTAAACTTACAAAATCGGCAAGGGATCAAACCATTATTTCCTTCACTATATGATTCTGAAATGCACCAATCTGCACAATGACTACTCTTACTTTTGGTACTTTAAGTATATTTGGATGCTAATACTTTGGTACTTTTACTTGAGAAACATTTTGATTGCAGGACTTTTACTTGTAACAGAGTATTCCTACTCTATGGTACTTCTACTTTTACTTAAGTACAAGATCTGACTAGTTCTACCACCTCTGACTGTGACATCATCATTCTGTTATTTCTCAGGTGTTTACACTCTTTCAGTGTATTTACGCTAATGTGAATTTATTTGTATTTGTTATATTTGTTACAAGCCTTTTAACGAGCACTTGAAACCCGCTGCTGAAACCAGCCTGTGTGATTACCTGGGAAAAAGTTCTGGATTCCATTATTCTGAAGTTTCTTCACGAGCAGAGCGGAGAGTCCGTGGATCTCGGAGATGTTCACCAGGTGTCCTTTAATGTCTCTGTGAATCACATCCGGCTGAGCCAGCCACTGAGGGAGCACTCTGTGCACCTGACACACACACACACACACACACACACACACACACACACACACACACACACACACACACACACACACACACACACACACACACACACACACACACACACACACACACACACACACACACACACACACACACAATCTTAATATTTATCACTACAATAAACAGTATTTCATTTGATTTCACTGTACAATATTTAATGTTACATTCTGTTCTCGTCTATCTAATTCTATGAACATGTGTGATATAGACTCCTGCATTTACTTGGTCACTTACAACATTCTCTGCATTATTTAGCTTGTTGTATTTATTTATTTTTCTGACATGTATAAAGTTAACTTCATCTGCATTACTTGCACATTGTTCTCACAACATAATCTGCTATATTTGATTCAACTCAGTTTCTTCTTACATTTTTTAAACGTGTTTCATATATATTGATGTTGCATTGTTGGAGGAGCTTGGGACTTAAGATCATCATTGCCATATCTACACTGTAGCTACTGTGCATATTGAATCTTTGAATCTAATAGCATTAGAAACACGTGTGTGTACCTTTTGGACAGGTTTGTTGTCAAATCCTCCCAGGACCGTGAACCCGGTTGGAGCAGGAGTCTTTTCCGCGGTTTGTTCTGGTGCTATGTTTTCTGTCTCCGTTTTCTCTTCTCCTTCTCCTGTTTCCTCCAGTCCTGCTCTTCCAGTCACAGGAGTGTCAGGAAGACTTTTCACTGAAATGCCTAAAATCCAGAGACAAAACAAGTCATATCAAATGAATAGACCAACTGGTATAATAAGGACAGTGAGTAAGAACTGTCTTCTTACTCTTTATTATAGTCTAATTCATCCATACCTCTCATATTGTAACACAGTATGGGGGCAGTACTTTTTCCAACTACTTTTCCAAGGATTGCAACAAGATCCAAGTCCCATATCTCATCTGCTCCTTTATTTAACAGGCTTCACATTCTTACAGTTTAGGACATCAACGTTTATCAGATTTACGTTTTTATTTACAAGATATATTCAGGAAAAGGGATTATTCCTATAACCTTCAATACATACTTCATTTAAACCGTATTAGCCATATTCTCTTTGTGTACATAATATGCACTTTACAGATCAATAAACCACTGCCGTGAATGTCAAATCGCTACAATGAGTGGAGGAAAAAACCCGGATATCAGAAATCAGCAAAGACTTTTAGCTCTTAACCTGCACAGTGACTGTCTGGAGATACAAAGTGAGGTATCCAAAGTGGATTTTGTTAGACCAATAGCAATATTTGAAGGATTTAAAAATCTCAGGTAAATATTTTTATAACATTTTACACCCTTTTCAAATGAAATTGGTATGGAGCGCTCAAAAAATGAGGAGAGGTCTCACATGAGCCTTGTTCAGAAGTATATTGTAACACTTCACTGTCTTTTTGTTCATTCATAACTATTTATAACCAATACATTTCACCAGACATAGGGACAGTATAACCAACAATTCTGAGCTCTACTGTAAGTGTATTCACTTACTTGTGTTTATAGCAAATTCCACTATTTATAGTCCACGTATTGATATATTATTACAATAAGTATTTCATTCAACTATACAGTATTAAAGTATTATCTCATCTCCATTTTTCATGTGATAGTCGAATTATTTCTGTATTTTATTTGCTACACTGCTGGAAAAGCATAGGACTTAACATTTTCATTGCTAACAACTAAGCTGAATCTGACAATATTGTTCATACCAATGTATTGTTAGGCCTCAATAAGAGGCATCATCTCACAACATCAATGTATTGTTAGGCCTCAATAAGAGGCATCATCTCACAACATCAATGTATTGCCCAATTTGGTGTTATCGTGTAAATAAATACAAGAACAAGCACATACCTGACTGATCCTTCTTCTTCTTCTTCTTCTTCTTCTTCTTCTTCTTCTCATTTGCACTTGTCTGCTTCTTCTCCTCCTCGACCGGCTCGTCGTGGTTATCCTTCTCTGAGACAATAACAGCTGCTGCTTCAGATTTCCGTTTCTTGTTGTGTTCAGGCTCCTGACTGCTGTCCTTGTCAGCTTTTCTTTTCTTTTTGACATTCTTTTGCGTCCGTTCTTTAGGTGACTTTTGTGTTTCTTCCGTCAAACTCTGTCTCTGCTTCTCTTTGGCCTTCTGTTGCAGCTTAGCCAGTAACGCCTGAGAGCGAGACTCCTTCGAGATGCTCCCATTTACCTCCTCTCCAAGATACCTGTGAGGACACATGACAGGTGTTACTCATTATTCTGCCCACTTCTTCAGCAAAAGCACAGCACATACACTTTTGGTCAATTGAGCAGCTTGTAGCCTTAAAAATATATCATCCTACATTTATTGGGTATTCGCCCTTTTCTCTTTTACATTATGGAATTACATTAATATAAATGCCATTTAAGTTGAAAGTTATCTTTTATCTTAGGATAAAAAAGGAAAACAATCCAGTCATTTAAATATAAAATCAAGAAACAACGGAGAGACTTAATCATTAGAAAGGTCAACATGTTTTGACCACTGGAGAAAAGGGGTTTTAACAAATAGAAAAACAGGAATGTTTCTTCCCTATAAAGACCAAAAGCCATGATAGGCGGAACACATTTAGATCAATAAAACATGTCATAAGATTAAACACAACATAACTGGCAGACAAAGTGCTCATTTTTAAATAGATAGATGATAGATAGATATATACTTAAAGTCCAAATTGGGGAATTATTGTGTTCAAGCAGCAGTGTTAAGCATTACACGAGTTGTTTAAAGGATAGAATAAGATGCAAATAACATTTACAAGAGCGGAAAGTATATACAGTAAGAATACAACTTAAAATAGTAAGAATAAAAATGAAATATAACTTATTCTTCTTATGACCGTGATGTGAAAATCATATACTTATTATCTTAAAAGCTTTAAAAAGCAAGATACAACCATATAACTCCAAAGTCATGTATTTATGTGACAAAACAAACAAATACCAAAAATGAAAGCTAGTAGATAACATGAGCCTACCTGTTTACAACAAACAGAGACATTCCCTCAGAAAGGTAAATCACTCCAGGACAGTTTGTGTGTTCTTTTCAGCTATCTCGAGTTTGAAAATGGTGTTCGCTGAATATCAATTAACCATGTCTAGATTCGTTAAGAACTCTGATTATTTAAATCACTATAAACGCTCAACTTCAAATGAACTAGAAAAAACACAAAATTATCATGTGTTTTCCACACTTACAGTACAAAACGCAGTTTGATGACGACACTCAAGCAGCGGCTATTTTGTGCGTCACTAGTTGGGCGCTACCATATTTACTTGACTTTTTGGTGCACAAATTGAAGTAAGAAAAACTTGTTTTCCCTTTGACACCAATTTGCCTATTTAAAACATTTTTGTCAAAATAGATTTCTTTTTAAATAAATGAAAATCTCACTTAAACCAACATCCTCAGTTCACATCCTCATTTGGATTTGTCCACCCGATGACGTTGACCAATCAAAACAAAGTGGGAGATTTTAAAACCAGTGACGGTTTTCTTTTGAAACTGAGGGAGGCATTCACATTTGAGTCCACCAGTGTCCGTTTATTCGTCTTCAGGTTTTTTTTTTGGCATTTATGAGAGATGTATTAGTTTGCCTTCCAATTTAAGTTTGGACAGTTCACTTACTATTACAAAGAACAATGGCAGAGGAGTCTGCTGTAAAAGTATGTGTTCGGGTCCGTCCACTTATTCCAAGGTAAGTCTGCCGCCAACAGCTAAGTTAGCATTAATAAAATACAAGTTTAGAGCTAACGGTAGGTTATGGAGCGTTAATGCTAATGCATGCTAATGTTACTGTTTGGTTTTTCATTTCATTCATTCGTTAGCTACAGTTGGACGTAAAATACAAGTATTTTGTTCCAGTCAGGGTTCGTACGGTCATTGAAAACCTGGAAAAGTCATGGAAATTCAAAGTGCAAATTCCAGGCCCTGGAAAAGTTGTGGAAAACTATTTTTCCCAGAGTTTTGGAAAAGTCATGGAAATGTAACTAAAGTTGCGTCAAATATAATTTACATTTGATCTAATCGCCGAAATAATCTGCGGTCGCGAGCTGTTATGTGCCATCATGACGCGCATGGTGTTATTTTTTAATATATGAAGCGCGAGCTGTGTGCTCGAGTCTTGATGCCTGTCGGCGGGCCGGCTGAACTCTGCTGCTCCGGCATGAGGGTCAGCTACATTATCTACGGTGCGTTCGTTAACTGTGCGGAGTCACTGTGGCACAGACTGCACCGCTGGTGAGCAGCTGTTAGAACGGGCCGTTCAGGTGTTCAGAGCAGAGCGGCAGAGCGTGATGTGAACTGAAAAGTTTTTCTGTCGCAATATTATTTAAGGAATCGTTGAGCTAGCTAGCTAGCTAGCATACATTGTCACTATCTGCTAACGTTAGCTTTAGCCTTCGTTTTCCAATAGTTTTTTTCATAGGCTATAAACAGAGGTGGTATAAGTATAGATATTTACTAGAGTAAAAGTAGAATTATTCAGATCTTGTACTTTAGTAAAAGTAGAAATACCAGAGTGTAGGAATACTCTGTTTCAGTAAAAGTCCTGCATTCAAAATGTTCCTCAAGTAAAAGTAGAAAAGTATTATCAAAATATAGTTCAAGTAGCGACAGTAAAAGTAGTCATTGTGCAGATTGGTCCATTTCAGAATAATATATATGATGTTTTATAATGATTGATCATTAAAGTGTTCTCAAAGCTGGTAAAGGTGCAGCTAGTTTGAATGACTTTGTATACTGCAGGGTAGCTTGTGAATTTAATCCAGGTGGAACTAAAGTCTGATTTAACACTTGATTATATTTCACATCATTCATCCAGATCTGTAAAGTAACTAAAGGGATTAAATACATGTAGAAGTACAAAGTAGCAAAACATTGAAATACTTAAATAAATATTCACATGAGCACGATTAAAGGGAAATGGAGCTCCCGAGAGAGCGCTGCGCTGCCTTAAATACAAGCTGTAGGACTTTGAGGAGCTGTCCACTGTGTCCAGTAACACTTACTGAAAATAAACTATTCATTTGTTGCGTTTCCCATAAATGCTCAGCTGGACGATGTATTCGAGCTGCTTATGATGCAGAGAATCATGAAATTATGAATACACGCAGTTGCGTATTTGGCTCAAAAAGCGTGGGATGTTAATAATTAGGCTACATAATAATAATAATCAAGTAGCCTAACCTATGACGTTTAAAGTGATAATTGTTGGCCATTTCATATGTGAAATGTGGATAGTATACTTTAAAACGAAGGTAGCCTAATCCAGGAAATACAATGCCGTTCATTCCATTTAATTATATTCATGTAGACACATTAATTAGATGGTCCTCCGCCCCTCCCAGAAAACGTGACTTATTAAAAACGGAACGTTATCATATTGTTATGCAACAATCACGTGCATTTATTTGGTTTAATGTTACAATCATTATGGCTGACGATATAAAACAAATGTAAGCCAACTGAAACCAGTGCAATTGCAACAAGGACACTTTTAAATTGTTTAGAACAGTCAAGCTGGCTAATGCCAAAACAACAGACATATAGTAGACCTAACACACTTTTTTTTAACAGACGTATAACCTTTTACCGAGTCTGTATTATTATATAATATACGTATATATAAAACATATAAAACGTACATATAAAACAACATATATTCCATATAACACACTTTTTTTTTTTAACAGACTTTTACAGACAGGCTGGCTAACGCCATGTTCATCTCACAACTCAGTGTTTCTTTAGATTACTATGCAGAAAAGAATGTCATCAACTGTCCCTGGTTTCAATTGGCTTCTCCTTTCTGAGACCACAAATCCAGCCGTGCAAAAATCTCGCTGTATTGTGGGACAAAGGTAGCTTATTTTCCGATAATCACTAGCCATATGTCTAAAGTGAGCGGCTCCATTTGTACTCACTCATCTGTTCTCTCAGCGCGAGGAATTAGCTTTGGACGATGTCTTCTGCATCCCCCCCCCCCCCGTATTTTGGCCACTCTGCGAGAGTATGTTTGTCGGGACGGATCGGTAACAGCGCATGCATCGACACGGCCAGCCCGCGCACCAATGTCAATCAATCCCTGGCTAAGCCGAGTGAAACCATCGCCAAACACCGTTCGAAGGATCTAACATGCACTGCAGAAAATTGTACTGTAATTTGGACACCGTCTCCTTGTCTTTCCCTTTTGGGTGCTTAAGATCACGGGATTGGGAAGTAATTGACTTGATTGTCTGCGACCTGTGGCATTGGCAGCGCAGCTCGACTCCATATGTTTTTCAATGAGACAGTACCTAGCGCGGTCTAGCATAGGCAACACTGGTTTGCACTTCTTGCAAGCAGCGAACCCAGCGGACCTGGTTGTGTTCTCCATCTAGATGAGGTCCAACAAGCCTCCCCAGACAATGGATTGCTCTTGAGAAGGAGTTTCGCAATAGCTGTATTCTCCGCCTGAAGGGAGCCTTCGCCTTTCACCGCTCAGTCAATTGAATGTGGCGCCGCTTTCAGCAGCAGATTGCGGCGCATATGTTATGATGATGCGCGGGGCCCGCAAGGGAAAGGTCAGAGGGGGTTTAAACAGTACATTAAATTATCATTGTAGTATTTTTTCGATGCAACACCCGCGATCCGACCCGCATCTTCTTTGTTTTACCCGGACCCGAACCCGAATAGTTTGTGAAAGAAATACCACCCGTGATCACTGTTTGCGGACCCGCGGGTACCCGACCCGATGCAGGACTCTGCCATAGAGTCCAGTTAGAGCGGAGGCCTGTGAGTATAGTAACCAAGAATAACATGGTCGACACCACAAAAGTGGCCACGGCAAAAGACAACCCAGGCCACTTGTTTACAAGATGTTGGGATCTAAAATGGGGTGATCTAGTAAAACTCACAGGACTAGTTTATCCAATGTAGCTAGCCACGCACTCAGCAGTAGGCTACTAGTGTAGCCACACGGTCCCGCGGGCACTTAGTGCCCGGCAGGGGCAACGGAGTCGCCGCGAGGCATGTTCAAGAAATAGCTCGCCAAGCAAAGCAAAAGTAAAAAATAACAAAATAAAAAAGGAAAGTAATTAAAAGTACCACCAGTGTGCATAGCGAAACTCAATCATAGCAAACGGTCTAATCTACTTACTACTCAATCGATACAGAACTCTGCAGCCCGGATCATTCACCGGCACCAAGGCCTGCAGAACACCATCACCCAGCCTCATCCAACTCCACGTGCTCCCGTGCAATCCCTGATCAACTTCAAAAACCTACGCTACTCACTTACAAAGCGGGCCGGATAACCGCCCCCCCCCCTATCTGGCTGACCTGTCTTCAGGAGTACACCCTTCTCGCTCCCTCCACTCGCCGTCTTGCTGGTCGCTGACTCGTCCCCCACCCCACGGCCTCGTCACCAGGGCTCGGGCTTTTAGCTGCAATGCTGTCCCAGACTGGAACGCCCTCCCGTCCGCCACAATCACAACAGCAAGACACAAATCACCATTATTCAAATCCCAATTAAAAACCACACCGTTCCAAAGTCTGCTTATGCACGTAGTGCGTCCCACTATATGTTTTGCATTTGGTCGCGACGTTGACGTCTCCTCTATGATTTTGCAGTTGGTTTTATCAGGTTCTGTGCCTATTAGCGTAGCAATTTTTTTTTAAACAAATGTCCGGGGCCTTGGGTGTCGTGAAAGGCGCCTAAAATAAAATGTATTTAGTATTATTAGTTACTACAACTGCATATTTCTATCGATTGATTGCCGGGACCGAGCGTGGCCAGTCGGAAGAAAAGCAAGTTGAGCGGCACCGCAGACGCAATTTCCACTGGGACAGGAGGAACATGTCCCCTCCCACGGTCGAAATCCCGGGTGTGTCCCCCCCACTTTACAAATATGTTTATAATTTTTTAAGCGCGAGCCGTCGAGTCGCCACGGAGAGCACAAGCGTCTGTGAGCGAGCGACCGAGAGAGGAGCGAGAGAGCTAGAGAGAGCACACCTTTATCTACGTTAATGTCATTATAAAAAAAGAGAAGAAATCAGTCCAATGCGTACTATAGACAGTAAAAAAAACAATAAAAGGTGATTGGAAAAGAGAAACTGGAAAAGAAAAAAATGCTAACTAGAAACATTCAAGATAAGGACATACACAAGTTAAAGATTTGTATGAGTTGGTGGATCATAAGAGTTTTTGGGGATTATTGAAAGTATACAGCTCACTCATATGGAGTGGTTGAGACGCGGTGGGTATCCATAAGATCATTTTGGGTGCTCCAAAGTGCCACCAGATTGGATGCATTTAACTGCAACATGAAAAAACATCTTCCCGGGTCAGTGCGAGCCGTGAGGGTGTAGGACCTAACAGTAGCCCTTATTTGAAGAAGGGAGTTTGAAGCGTTGAGCAGGAAGGGGGCGGTAGGAGAACTGTGACCCCGTTGTTCAGGACGAGCTTCCACAGCGGCGAACGTTGGGGCATAAAGTCAGCGAAAGAAAATTAAGACCCAGCCAAGCTAGAGAAGATAGATTGGTCAATTCGAATGGACGTGGCATTGAGCAGTTACTCTGCTCGTTGAGGTCGACTAGTAGCGGGCCCTCTGAATTTACAGGCGAGACCGACGCGAAGCGCGCGCGCGCGCGTTCACGAGTGAACGCGCAGGGGACGGCGGCTTTAATTTAACCCTTCAAGTAGCAACAGAAAGTAGCAGATTCAAAGATTTAGTTGCTTGGAGAAGGGTTATGTTTTGAAAT